TTTTATTGTTGGATGTAACTGGGACCCTGTGTTCATAATGTCGTTCCGCCACATGTACCACATGTGGTGCGAACAACAATAAAGAAGCTCTGACTCTGATAATGTAGCGGTTTTTGTTTATATTTTTAATGTCATTTTCTTTCATTTATTTTTTTCAATTTATTTGCTTTCTTTTATGATTGTCATTGTTGTCATCATTCTTTGTTAAAATCAGGTCTCTTTTATAAATGAGTCCTTAAGGCTCAATGAGACTAACCTGTATAAATAAAGGTTGAATGAAAATTTAATTAAATTTAGCTTTTAGCTAGCCTGTTGCTACTTTATTTAGCTTTTTGCTATTTTCAACTAGCCTTATGTTACTTTTGGCTTTTAGCTAACCTTTTTTATTTTAAGCTTCTAGCTAGCCTTGTACTATTTATAGCTATCATTTAGCTATTTTCTGCTTTTAGCTAACCTTTTGACATTTTTACCTGGCATTTAGCGGTTAGCTAGCCTTCTGCTTTTAGCTAACGTTTGACTTTTAGCTAAACTTCTTTTACTTTAAGCTCATGGCTAGCCTTCTACCATTTGTAGCTAGCTTTGCTCCTTTTGCTAACCCTTTTCTGTTTTTAACATATCTTTTTTGATTCTTTCATCCACTCATATTAATCGTTAGCTCACCAGTCAGATCTAATCACTGTTTCTCCAAACTGAGGTTGTCGATAAACCTTGAATGACAGGTAAATATATTTGTTTGTTTGTAACATAGAGCCCCACTTGTAAAATTCTGAATAAATATTTTAATAAAGTTGTTTTTAAGGTCATCTACAATCTGCCTGTTTCCTCCTACTTGCCTGCACTTCAGCCCTTACAGTATTTTTTCCCTTTGTTTGATCTTGTTTGTGCACACTCTACTCAGTGTTGACAGTAAGAAATACATAAAAAAAAAGTTTTCTTTATTAGTTTGCAGTGAAACAAAGAAACATTTCATGATGAAGACAAACAGTGTTTTGGATTTTTCACCAGCTCTTTAAAACAAACCAGTAGACATCATGTTGATCTGAGCGTACAGACTCGCCCCCCTGCAGAGTTCATGTTTATTGAAGGGAGAGGCTTATCTAAAGGACTATCCTTCAAAAACACACTGATTCACTGGGGGGGGGGGGGGGGGGGGGGACAAGCTCAGGAATTACATAACGTCAGTGTCAAGTTCTGACCTCTCACAATGAACCCCCACCCCCCTCCTCACCTTCCTGAGTTTTTGCTTTGCTCTGAGGAGGAAGCAGGAGGCGATAAACAAACCTGAGAGGAAGTTTACAGATTTTTATTTATTTTTTTGGTGTGTGCGTGTGTGTGTGTGTGTGTGTGTGTGTGTGTGTGTGTGTGTGTGTGTGTGTGTGTGACCGAGAACAAAACATTTAGGAAAAACAGAAGTTTTCTGAGGCGGAGGAATTTCGTTGTTGGTTGATTTGATGCTTTCGCGCCACACCCAGATCCATGCGGCGATGAAAAAAACACATCTGGGAAGAAACGTTTCAACTGGACTGCTGAGCGTGTTTTATGTTGCAATACACGTAAGTAAGTGCCATGTGATGTCATCATTGTATGTTCCAGTGGTGTGGTCTACATTTTTGTAGTGGGTATACTCTGCTTAGAAAACAAAGTACGCTGGTTAGTATAATGTAATCATATATA